ACGGCATATCAACCTCAATGGGTTATTTAATGCCGGCAACATTTTTACGATAGATTCGTATGAATAGAATATGTATTCTTTGGTTTAGATTGGTTTGGTTTATTTTGTCCCACGGCACACCAACCCCAATGGGCTACTCAATGCTGACAAAATTCTTTATTGCTGGTAATATTTTGTTTTGTCAAAAATCTGTTTCTGGTAATATTTTTCTTTCAAAATTGTATTGTTGGTAATAATTTTTTCTAAAAAGTATTGCTGGTAATAGTTAACTATTTTCCCATAGCTGGGACCCTAACAGGTGCTAAACACCTCAGGTCAGGGTGGACCTGGGAACACCAGCAATTAAGAGGTGGTTCCACGCTCCTCGAAACCTCCTGATCAGATGCCTTGCTGTTGGATGTAGTTTATCATCTTACCCAGGACGCAGATGTAGTTTAAGGTCTTACCCAGGATGGGATGACACATAGAACTACGAATTTCTCAGAACTACAAATAAATAACCTGGCAAGGATATTCAAAAATCAATTCACAGAAAAATGGAAGAATTAAAGTTTGTCATGGTTCAAATGTTGGAACAACAATTGCAACAAAAGCAACAGTAACAGAAAATCCTGGAATTATTATTACATAGAACTTCACTGGAAAGAACATCAGATTTATTCACTTCAGATGCTGTCATCAATTCAATTAGTGAATTTTTATACAATTCAAATGAAGGTATAACATTTCTAGCATATTATAGAGGATACAAAGAAATCTTCAAAAAGGATTTTTTGCACTGGGATGATAGAAAAAAAAAGCTTTGTTTATTATTAAGAAAACTGTCTTCTACAGAACATGAAAATTATGTGAATTTTATTTTGCCAAAGAAAAACCCATGTGAGATAAATTTTGATGAAACTTAAATATGTCGGAAATTTTCAGTGATAGGTGCTTACTATTTAACACACATTGGCAATGTCTTAATTTAGTAAAGGATGGCAATGAAGATTTTGTCACTTATGCTGGAGTAGTGAACTGGAAATGTGAGAAATTTAAATTGAATGAATTAACACCAGATTTATTCAAATGCCTAATATTTGTACAGGACTTAACTGCTAATAAGGATGTTGAAATAAGAGCTAAAATATTGTCTAAATTAGAGATGGAGTCAAAATTAACTCTCCAGAAAATAGCTGAAGAATGTCAATGCATGGTTAATCTGAAACTCGATACTGCAAGATTAGAGGTATTTCACATTTACGTAATGTCCAACCTTTTAAGCAAAAGGAGAATAAACCTTCTGCAACACCTAAAAAAGCATTCAAAAAAGATTTATACACCTTTGTCAATATCCAGTACTTGCCATGGTTGTGATGGTAAACATTTTAAAAGTGATTGTTTTTTTTTTCAGGAACAAAAAATGCTATGAATGTGGGAAGATTGGACACAAATTTACTCATTGTAAATACAAAAAATGGAAAAAATATAGAAGAATGTGTGTGAACATGGTAAATACTTTGCAGAAAGTAAAAACAATTAAAGGAAAAACTACAAAGAAAAATTTATCAAACATGTTTTTAACTGAGCTAGAAACATCTCAAAATAGGAAATTTGTTTTTGTTAAAATTAATAATGTAAAAATAAGACTACAACTGGATATAGGGTCTGATATCACCATTATCAATGAACCGATATGGAGAAAAATGGGAAAACTCAGTTTAGCAACTTCTGAAAAAATTGCTTGTGGAGTGACAAGGAAAAAATTGGACTTTATGAATGAGTTCACCTGCAACATTTTTTTTTTTATTTTTGTTGGAAAAACTAAAAAAGTTGTTGTTTGTGGTAAACAATACAGCTAATTTATTTGGAACAGATTGGATTGCATTATTTGATCTGTGGGAACTTCCAGTTAATTCATTCTACAACAAAATAAATCTTGTTACTTCTAGTACTAATATGGTAGCCGAAAAATTAAAGAAAGAATTAAAAATAGTTTCCCAGAATTCTTCTCAAAAGGTCTAGATAGATGCACTAAAACACAAGCTAAATTTGAAGTAAAAAAAAAAATGCCACAACATTTTTCAAACCAAAAAGAAGTGTACCTATCATAGCATTAGAACCTGTTAATAAGAAATTAGAAAGACTGAAAAAAATTAGGAGTTATATCAAAAGCAGACTATTCCAAATGGGCATCACCAACAGTTTATATGAAGAAAAAATAATAAAATCCGTGTATATGCTGATTTTTCAATGGGATTAAATGAAAGTTCGAAAGAATGTAACTACCCGTTTCCAAGTCCAGAGGAAATTTTTGCCAAATTAAATGGTGGTAAATTTTTTTCTAAATTGGATCTTTCAGTTGCTTACCTACAAGTAGACAAAGCTTGTTGTAAACTTTTAACAATTAACACTCAAAAAGGACTGTACAAATTTAACTGACTGACTTTTGGTATAAAGTTAGCACCATGCATATTCCAACAGATTATGGATACAATGCTTGCTGGTTTGAATTGTGCAC